CTTGATCAGATGGGGATGTGGGCTGAGAACTGGCAACTGCAATTCAACATAATTAAGTGTGGGGTGTTGTACTTCGGATAGTCAGACAAAGATAGGACTTATACAGTAAATGGTAAGGTCCTGAGGAGTATTGTGGAACAGAGGGACGTCGGAGTAAAAGCACATAGTTTGTTGCGACCAGTGTCACCAATAGACAAACGAGGTGAAGAAGGCACTTAACATGCTGGCTTCATCGGTTGAGGCATTGAGTATAGGAGTTGGATGTTATGTTACAGGTGTATGAGTTATTGATGAGGCCGCACTGAAATACTGTGTACAGTTTTGTCACCTTGTTTTAGGAAAGACATAGTTAAACTGGAAAGAATGCCAAGAAGATTTACTAGGATGTTGTCAGGACTAGTATGCCTGAGTTGTAGGGACAGGTTGGCCAGGATAGGACTTAATTATCTGGAATGTCAGAGAATGAGGGGATGACTTTATTGAGGTGTATAAAATCATGAGGGGCATAGATAGGATGAATGCATATCGTCTTTTTCCAGGGATGGGGAATTGAAAACTCGAGGTCATAGGTTTAAGGTGAGAGAGGAAACTTCTTCATGGAGAGAACGGTGCATATAGGGAATGGGCTGCCAGAGAAAGTGTTTCAGGCAGGTACAATAGCAACATTTAAAAAACAGTTGGATGGGAAGGGTTTAAGAAGGATATGGACCAAACCTCCAATTGGAAATAGCTGAATGGGCACCATGGTCATCATGGATCAGTGTGGGCTTTAGGGCCTGTTTCCATTACTGTGACTCTAAATCTTACGACCTGCTCTTGCGCATCCCATCATGTTGTGGAAAGTTAAAGAGAAAATGTTGGGCCCCTTGCAGAAATATTCTATCATCTATAACTACAAATGAGGTGCCAGATGAAGAGAGAGTGGCGAATGTTGTGCCTTCATTTGACAGATGTAAGAGAAGCCTGGGAACTATAGATCTGAGAGTCTGATTTTGGTGGTGGATAAGCTGTTGGAGGTGATTCTGAAAGATAGTGTTTGGAGAGGCAAGGACTGATTATGCATAATCAGCATGGTTTTATGCAACGGAAATCGTGTCTCACAAATTTGATTGAGATTGTTGGTGAAGTAACCAAGATGATTGATGAAGGCAAAGCAGTAAATATTGTTTGCTTGGACTTTAATAAAACTTTTGACAAAGTTCCATATGGTAGACTAATTACTAAAGTTAGCTTACAATGGGATCCAGGGTGACTTTGACAATTGGATACAACATTTGAATAATGTCAGGAGACAGGCTGTGGTAGTGGAGGGTTGTTTTTCGACTGAAGGCCGGGTGTTCAGATGTGACCACTGGTGTTCTGCAGGGATCAGTATTGGGTTCACTTTCGTTTGACATTTATATAAATGATTTAGAGAACTATACTGAAGGCATGGTTAATAACTTTGCGGATGACACCAAAATTTATGCTGAAGTGGACAGTGAAAAAGGTTATCTAAAATTTCAAAGAGATCTTGATCTATTGGGCCTGCGGGCTGAGGAGTGACAGATGGAGTTTAATGTGAATAAGTGCAAGATACTGCATTGTGGTAAAACAAACAAGGGAGGCAGGACCTATACAATTAAAAGTAGGGCCTTGGATATTGTAGAACAGAGAGACTTCAGGTTACAGTTACGCAATTCTTTGAAATTTGCGTCACATACAGACAGGGTGGTTGAGAAGGTGTTTCTTATGCTCACCTTCATTGCTCAGACCATTGTGTACAGAAGTTGGGACGTCATGTTGAGGTTGTAGAGGACGTCAGTGAGGTTTCTTCTGGAGTATTGTGTCCAGTTCTGGTCGTACTGTTATAGCAAATATATTATCAAGTTGGAGAGAGTTCAGGAGAGATTTACCAGGATGTTGCTGAGAGCGGAGGGATTGAGTCATAACGACAGGCTGGGACTCCTTTCACATGTATGTGGCACATTGAGGTTCACCTTATAGAGGTATGTGAAATCCTGAGCGGGAAAAGATAAGTTGAATGGCAAGTCTCCTTTCCCTGGGGTGGGGATTTCAAGACCAGGGGGCATATTTTTAAGGTGACAGGTGAAAGATTGAGAAAAGGCGGGAGGGGCAAACATTAGTTTTTCCAAGAGTGTGGTTCATGTGTGGAATGAACTTCCAGAGGAAGTGGTGGATGCAGCTACAGTTTACAACGTTTATAAGACGTTTGGATAATACATAAATAAGATATGTTCGGACAGAAATGGGCGATGTACAGACAGATGGGACTACATTAGTTTTGGTACATGGTCAGCATGGATTAGTTCGACCTATTTGTCTGCTTCTGTGCTGTCAGACTCTATGGTTCTATGTGATTGAAACTTTCAGAATACTGAGAGGACTGGATAGATGGACATGGAGATGTTTCAACTAGCAGGAGAGACTCGAACCTGAGGGCACTGCTCTCAGCAAAGGGATGACCCTTTAGAACTGAGATGAAAAAGAATTTCTTCAGCCAGAGAGTGGTGATTCTGTGGAACTCAGAGCCGTAGAAGTTTGTGGGGGCCAAGTAATTAAGTGTATTTATGGCAGAGATAAAAAGGTTCTTTGATAAGGGGACCAAGGGTTATGTGAGAACGCAGGAGAATGGGGTTGAGAAACATATCAGTCACAATCAAATTATGGAGCGGTCTTGGTTGGCCAAATAGCCTAATTCTGTTCCTCTATCTTGTGTTCCTATGGTTATTATGGGCGATTTCAATCGGCACATAGGGTGAGCAAATCAAATCAGAAACAATACCGTCGAGGAGAAATTCCTGGAGTGTGTATGAGACGGTTTTCTAGATCGATATCTTGAGTACCCAAAGAGAGGACAGGCCATCTTCAAGGATGTATTGTGCAATGGTCAGGGTGGGTAAGCTCAGTTGGCTGGACACCTGGGGTTTTTGATGCAGAGTGACACCAGCAGCATGTGCTCAATTCCTGTAGCAGCTGAGGTCACCATGAAAGTCCCACCATCTTTACCCTGCCCATTGCCTGAGGATTGGTAACCCTGAGGTTAAAGCACCGTTAGTCGTCTTTCTATCTCTCTCTCTCAAGGGAGAGAACAGTTCTATGATCTTCTGGGACTTGATTTCAAAATTTTAATTGTGCAATGAAAATGGATTAATTGGCAATCTAGCTGTGAAAGGCCCCATCTGGAAAAGTGAAGACCTCTTCACGATTGAACTCTTCATGCAGATGGAGAGTGACAGAGTTGATTCTGAGACGAGGGGCCAAAATCTAAATAGAGGAAATTACAATGTTATGAGGCGCTTGCAGGCTACAATAACTTGAGAAACACAAACTTTAAGGGTTGACAAATATTTAGAGAGCACTTGGAGGAACTGCAACTCTTGTTCATTCCTGTCTGGCACAAAAAAACGGGAAGTGTGGCCCTTTCTTGGCTAACAAGAGATATTAGGGATAGCACTGGATCCAAGGAAGAGCTGTAAAAATTGGCTAAAAAGAGCAGCAGGCCTGAACACTGGTAGCAGTTCAGATTTTAGCTAAAGAGGATTAAAGGATTGGTTATGAAGAGAAAAATAAAGTCTAAGGGTAAGCTTGCGGGGAACATACAAACTACTTGTAAAAGCGCAAAAAGGATATGAAGAGAAAAAAAAAAGAAAACATGTCCCTTACAATCAGAAACAGGGGAAGTTAGAATGTGGAATAAAGAGATGGACAGACGAATTAATTACATATTTTGGTTCTGTCATCACAAATGATGACATCAATAATAACCCTAAAATGCTGGGGAACACGAGAGGGAAGAAGTGAAGGAAATCAGTATTAATAGGGAAACGGTGTTGGAGAAATTAACGGGATTAAAAGCCAATATATCCCAGCACCTGGTAATATATGCCCCAGAGTACTTAACAAAGTAGCCTGAGAGTTGGCGGATGCATTCTGAAACTGTGGGCTTGAATCTAAATTGAGGAAATTAATGGGTCTTTCATAATGCTATAGACTCTGGAACAGCTCCCATGGATTGAAGGGGAACGAATGTAAGCCAATATGTTAAAAAGGAGGTGGAGAGAAAACACGGACTTATAGACCAGTTAATCCAACACTGGGAAACAGTAACAGGACTGGACTGAGTCAGAGTCGGTCGGCTTGGATTTAGAAAAGGGAAATGAGAACTGAGACCTGTTTGTCCTTGTACACAAGTCACTCAAATCAAGCATGCAGGTAGAGGCAGGAAGTGAAGGCAGCAAATGCGAAGTTGGTCTTCATAGCGAGAGGATTTGAGAACAGGAACAGGGATGTCTTGGTGAGACCACACCTGGAACATTGTGTGCAGTTTTGGAATACTTATCTGACTGAGGATGTTCTGGCTATGGAGGCTGTCCAATTGAGGTTTACCAGACTGATTCCTGGGATGGCAGGACTGACATACTATGACAGAATAGATCAGATAGGATGATCTGGGGTTTAGAATTTTGCGGGAAGATCTCACAGAAACCAATAAAATTCGAACAGGACTAACAAGTTAAATACAGGAAGGAGGCTGTCAATGACGATGAAGTCCAGAACCAGGGGATCATGGATTAAGGATATAGGGTACACTGTTTAGGACCGAGATGAGGGAAGATTTCTTTTCTCAGAGACTGGTGAGCTTGTGGAATGTGCTGCCATGGAAAGCAGTTAAAGCCAAGAGAAACGTATCGTTCTGAGGGCTAAAGCGATCCAATGATATGGGCCTCAAGTGGGAACAGGCTACGAGTTGAACAATCAGCCATGATCACACCAAATAGTAGAGCAGGATCGAATGTCACAACAGCCGACTCCAGTTGCTATTTTCCATGTTTCTATTCTGCTAAAGGCGGGATATTAAAACAAAACGACTGTAACTAACACAGATAATCAGCACTACCTTATCACCACTGAATGAAAATTCTGAAACTCCTCAGCGAACAGCAATGTGCGAAGAGCTTCACCACATGGACTGCAGCAGTTCAAGAAGATCAAGGAGGAGCAGAGTGATTTTGGAAGCTTTTGGATGGGCTGCTCGATCTCTCAGTTTCTATCCAGTTATCAGATTGTTGAATGCTCTGAGAAAGGCAACATAGGAAATAAGAGAATATTTAAGGAAATTTGCCGAAACTGTTACATTCACTGCTGACTTGGAAATTTGATGAACTTTTACGTGCCCGTGAACAACTCATTATCCAAGGATTGCACAGAGGCTTGATATCCATTGTTTGAAACTGTTTAATTGAACTAACAATTTACATTAATTTTATTTTCTGTTTAGTATATTCCTTATGTGTGCCTGTGAATCGGTGAGAGTGGAGGTTATACAAGAAGAAGGTTGTGTTTAAATCACAGATATTGATTAGACTGCCAAGTTGATTGTGTTTGTTTTGCTCAAGAAATTCTTATTTCTTCTTTCTTGAAACTCGGTGCCCAAGATCGGTTATTCACCAAGTCTGGTCAGGAGAATCTGGGCAATTTTGACGGTCATTCAATATTTTAAATTTCACTGTGAGACTAATTTGTTTTGCATTGCTATCCTTACGTCGTGACAAGTATTTGATAGTCAATATTACCTCAGAAACAGAAATGATCTCCAGTGCAGAACACAAAATTCCTGACCATGGGAAGATAAAGCTGGAAAATCAGCAGCATGTAACCAGAGATGGGCAGGAATGGATACCTCATTTGGACACAATCAGCAGAAATACCAACAAAGTACCAAACGAGGTTCTAAGAACTGTCAGTGCAGTGTGGAGCAGGAGGATAACAACAGATCAGGCACCACCAGGAAAGTCGACATTTCGGGTCGGAAGCCTTCATCAGACTCCAGGCATTGAAATGATCTCTCCTGAGTGTGAACAAACGGGTGTTGCAGGAGGTTGGATGACTGAGTGAATCCCTTCCCACACACTGAACAGGTGAATGGCCTGTTACTGGTGTGACTGCAATGAGTTTTCAGTTCAGATGGGGAAATGAATTCCTCCCCATAATCCCCACATTTCCACAGCTTCTCCCCAGTGTGACTACATTTGTGGCTTCTGAGTTCTGATGATTGGCTGAAGCCTTGTCCACACACACCACACCTATACAGTTTCTCTCCACTGTGAACACAGTATTTTCCTTCTACGTTAAAAAAATTACTCATTTGTGACAAAATGGGTGATTCCATCAGATCATAGCGTGATAGTTTGTAAATCTTCCCTGTCCATTATCCTGTGGAATTTATATCAAACAAAAAACAAACAAAAAAAAAGAGTGAGAGAGAATCTCTCACAAGACTCTGGCTTCTATGTGAAGATAAGGAATGAAAAGAGGGATTTTAGACCTACAACTTGACCAGGACTTTGTCAGAATCTTCCAAACACTCAGCCTCCACCATCGAGAAGGAGGAGGGTAACAGGTGGATGTGAACACCATCACCTCCAAGTTCCCTCCAGATCACGCACCATCCTGACTTTTCTGACATTCAGTCCTGGTGGAACCGAAATTTCCTCCAAGTAACTAATGGCCAAACAGAGGCCTTTATCTTTAGTCCTCAACACAAACTCCACTGCCTCACAACTGACTCCAACTCATCCCGAGCAACTGCCTGAGTCTGAACCAAACACGTCATAACCATAGTGAAATATTTCACCCAGAGATGAATTTTCAATCAAACATCCCCATCACCACCAAGTCGACCTACTTCCACCTCAGTAACATCAACCAACTCCTCCTCGTCTCTGCTCATCTGCTGCTGAAGCTCTTATCCACTCCTTTGTTACCTCTGGACTTATCTATGCTGATATACTCCCACTGTCGTCTCACATTCCCCACTCTGCACGAGTTTAACTTCCTCTGCCTCTATTAATGGGTGTACTCGGGCTGTGTTCAGTGTTTTATTGTTCCTTTCATTGACTGTTTCTAAATGAGGTTTTTAACCACTGCCCATTCTCCCAACCATGGGATGCTGTCTTCGCAGCTTTACCTTCACACACAAGCTCCCACAATGCTGTAATGGAAGGAGTTGCAGGTCATTCACCAAGTGACGTAATCCTGAGGTCATCCAAAACTCTGCTACTCGCGAGAGTATACGCACCAATTCTGGTTCACCCACCACACTGAGCTAATGCAGCTAAATTTTAAACTTTTAACCCTTCTGTTCAAATCTCTTGATCATGTCCGCTCTATCTATTTCTGTCATGTCCTCCAGCCTCCAGCCCTTCAAGGGCCATTAGGATCGGCCAGTAAATGCTTACCCAGCCAGCGGTGCCCACCACCACACGAGAATTAATTTTTAAAAATGCCCTTTGAGATTTATGTATTACCTCGAATTTCAACCTTCTCAGCATTCTCGATTTTAACTATCCCACATTTGGCGCCCTCAGCCTTTAACTGCCAAGGCCACAAACTGTGAAATTTCCTCATTAAACCTCTCTGTCTCTTGATGTCAGTTTTGTGCTTTAAAACAGTCATTGAAAACAACTTATTTGACCATAAAACATTCTGTCACTGCTTTAATATTTCATTGTGTCTAGGGTTAAAACTTGCATTATAACACACCCAAGGAACTGTTTAAAAGTTTCCATTATGTGAAGGGCACTATATTGATACTAGTTAATTGTCATTGGTTTGGACACATATCACAATCTCTTCGTCATCACTCGGTGAATAACTCCTTACCAATCAGCATTGTGGGAGCGACTAAGGGAAGACAATTGCCATCAACAAATGGTCAGGCAAGGTTAAGCTGTAAACACGTCATTTACAGAGTCAATGGAAGTAACAGTAAAATACCTAAGACAGTTACACACATTGTTGGAGACAGAGCACGTTAGACAATGACAGAGAGTTGATCAGGGAGAGCAGAGATGAACCAGCACAATGGATGGTGCTATAAAGGAGTTTTTGACACCAGCCACATAACGAGGGGAAGACAAAATGAGTCGCATTACCCCCAGAGTCAGATAACTGAGAACAGCATGAGAAACATATTGAAATAATTTCATTGTGTTCAACTTTAAAGTCAAATGTCGGAGTCTGAAGCACTGGGGTCAGGTAAACTCTCAGCTCAGGAAATACCTGGCAATCAGGGTGATGTCACTGAGCAATTGCCCGTGTGTCATAGCATCACCCACTTGAACACAGAGCATTTAGGTTTGCACAAACAGGTAATCTGCATGAAGGATGTGAGGGTATGAGGAGAGATTTGAAAGCAGATGAATCAGAATGGCTCAAGAACTGAGGGAAATTAGTGGTGGGGTCAGGTTGGAGAAACAGGTTGAAGTTGCCCTGCACAGAGCAAAGGAGATTAAGCTGAAATTTGATAAAGTGTCTCGGTTTATGATATGTTTAAATAAGGTTGATAAAGAGCAGCTGTTCCTCTTCACTGATAGTAAAACTATGAAAGACACAGACTTAAGATAATGGGCAATAGTTACTGGAAGGAATTTTATGTTACTTTTATCTTACTCAATCTTACATTCAAAGGCCAATAATATCCAGTACTGAATGAATAAAAAATAAAGTGGCTTACTTAGATATTGGTGAATCATTTGGTTTGAGTTTCCGATCTGCAAATCCTCTTCTAACATGCTGTAAAATAAAATTACAGTCAGTCCCGGACAAAATTTCAAAAAAATGAAGTATATATTTGTTTTGGAGTTTGCTGTATGTAAACGCTCCCTTCCTCACTCCCTGTAAAACAGTTTAAAAACTCTATTCCTGTCAGTGCAGGAGAAACATTCACAACATTCTCTCCCCTAACTCAGGGTGACCGCACCTGCGCCCTGCTGCCCTTTACCTCCTATAAAGATGGCGGCCGTTACCCGCAGCCTGTCATTGGCAGGGAGCCTCGATATGTCCCGTTTTTAAAAAAAATTGTAAAATTTCTTTATGCGAGATCTGCCGCATCCACAAAGTGTTTAGAAAGCCTCCCTGTTTACCACCCGGTCCATCGCCTCCTCCGTTCCGTCTCATTGTTACTTTTTGTGGAGCCGAAGGAAAGAACGACTGCTCCTCAGGATCGCTACGACTGCGCATGCTCCAGACTGTTGACATGTGGGAACATACTGAGCCTGCGCAGTGAAAAGCAAATGCAGTGCATAGCGCTCGGAATTCTGGATTAAGTGCCCACCATTGTAAATATTGAACTTTATTTGTCGTAATATGTACAAAGAATCTTTCTTTTTACTTCCTACCAGGAAAACTCACATATATAATACATTTAATAGAGAATAAGACGTTTGCATCCCGGGGATCTAATATCACAAAGTCTGACACTGAGTCGCCATACTCATTCTGGATCACAGGGTTCTGCTTTCTCATTACAGAGGCACAACTGATGGTGCTTTAACCTGAGGGACACCACACCTCATGTCAGCAGAGAGGTTGAAAGGGGAGAGTCATTAATGGCAAACTCAGGCGGTGTGGGATTTAAAATACACTGTTGGCGTCATGAGGAAAACGAGCAAAAAGCTCCAAGAAAGAGTTTGGCTTATATAACTGTCTTCAAAGAGGAGAACGTAGATTTCATGTTGCAGCAAACAACAATATTTTCTGTCGTTTGCTGAAGAAATTTTCACTGATGCCCTCAAAACATTGAATGCCTATTTGGATGAGCACTTGAAACGTCAGAGCAAACGAGGCGATGGGCCAAGTGCTGGAAACTCGGTTTAGAAGCGAGATGTTTGATGAGTGACATCGATATAATGGGCTGAAAGGTCTCTCTCCGTGGTGTTAAAATATCACTGACTATCATTTTGCAACTGAAACACAAGGTCAAAAGCAGTGGCAAGGCAAAAAGTTACAAGTATTGTGTGCATCTTCCTTTTTGGGATTCAGCATTGCAACTGCTGTATTCTCGGTTTGATTCCCAAATAGGAATGAGGATTTTATTGTTCCTGTCCAAACTCTTAAATGAACGTGAATTCCTGACATTAAAATACATTAAGGGGACAGCTCTGTCAGAATCAGTGAAAGTCTTACGCCAGGGATGAAACTAAACAGGAGAAAAGTGCTGAAATCCATTGACTTCACGTACTCAGACACAATACCACAAAAATAACTATTAAAACATACAGGTTACTTTGAGATTTAACATGTTGGACATGAAAAAATTGGTTTTCCTTTTGGGCAATCTTGCCCCAGAGTGCCTGATATCAGATGTGTGTTGCACATTTAAGACAGACGAGGAAGAATTTATTCTCTCAGATGGTGGTGAATTGGTGGAATTCCTTAGAACAGAGGGTTGTCTGGTCTGGGTCGTTAAGTGTATTCAATGGTGAGATTGACAGATCTTTAATCATTAACGGTATCAAAGGTTATGCGGAAAAGCAAGAAAGTTCCGTTCAGGATTATCATATCAGACACAAGATCAGTAAATGGTGGGGCAAACTGAATGGGCTGGACGGTCACTTTCTGCTCCAAACGTTTATGGTCTTCATACGAGACTGTAAAGCTGACCTGAGCGAAATTTGCCAAGTTAACATGCATGGATCCCCTCTGGGCACTGAACCGAGGTGAGACGTGCAAAGGGCACCACACAAAGGAGAGCCATTCAGGGTGATTGATCCGGAGTGATCTGTGTGCCAGGGTAAACAGTGAAAACCAGTCTAATGAACCCACATTGGGCCTGGCTCCATTAGGCCTACAGTCAGCTCTCACAAACGACCATGGCCCTTCACTATTCCTGACCTCCGCTCTCTCCTTGTTTTAATCCGATTGCACGTTAGGCAATTGCAGATGACATTGCTGATGAGGAACAGTAAGATGCAGTGAAGCGATTCTGACTGGTCAATGACATAATTCTGCATCTAAAGATTAGTCAGTATTTTATATTTATTCGTACAAATGTTAACTATTAACAGGCCATGGCAGGGAAGGCACTGAATCCTCTTCACAAGACAACCAGGGCAGATCTCTGCTCATATCACTCTGGACACTGTCTGATTTGGCAGTGCATTCGCCCATCCTTCTGCACATGATCCCCCTCAGCTCTGTAATGGATTTGTTACATTGTCTTGGTGTATGATGCACAGGCTATCCAGTCATCTTTCACATTGCAGTTTCTAATGCATGACTTTGTAGTGTGGTGGTTTGCTCAGTGGTCTTGAGTTCGATTCTTTCTGGGGCCTGAGAGACTTTTTGCCACTTGTTGGAACCAAACAAAGATGCTCTTAAAGTCGTTTGAGATTGTTTCTGATGAAATAACGTTAACACCACCATGCCATTTCCTCAACCAGCCAGAAATGCATTTGAAATACCACATTCCTTTTTGTCCTTCCAGGTACTTGAGGAAGATCTTTCAGAACGACAGGAATCAGCTGACATGAGCAATGTTCCAGTTTAGCAGGAAGAATGAGGTTAGGCAGGATGAACTGCAGAGTAACGGGGAAACAATGGGGGAGGAACACTGACAGGGGAGGGGCCAAATGCCTCCTTTCTTTGCTGTAACCAGACTCTGGTTTTGAAGTCTGAAATGGGAAGATATAAGACAGATAGGTGAAAGCCTTGCTTTCTGCGGCTTGGTCTCTCCTGAGGCCGCTGTCACTCTTGGGGCAATGTGTCTGTGAGGTTCCCTCTGTGGATGAAAATGAGGTTCAGTTCCCTGAGGGGGCGTGACTACAATATTACTATCTCAAATCTCAGTCCCATTCTTTGTGTCGCTTGAGATTAAAACTTTATAAGGAAATATCGTTGAAACGAATGCTTGGAATGTCAGACCATACAAAGCTCCAGGCTAAAGTGCCAGAAACTGGGATGATGGGCCTCTTTCTGTGCTGTACAAACTCAGTAACTTGATTATTTTCAAGAAGCTTATCTCATGTGTAAAAAGGCCAAATGCCGTGTCAAGAAGAAAATTAGCATGCATTTCCACTATCATCCCTTTTAGTCTCGTGGTTGTGACTTGGCACTCTCACTGACATGGCCAGGGTTCGATTTCCTGTCAGGGAATCTGGATTTATTGTTCCTGACGTTAACAAAATCAAACACATAGCAGTCTCTGACGGGAATCCTTTCAGTGTCTCAGGTCAGTTACTGTCCCCAAGAACATCAGAGTCAATGTCCCAGCCTCTTAAAGAAGGGGAAGCTTCCTCGACTGCCTCTGCTGAGTGAGAAAAAACACCTTCATCCTCCTCTGATTCCGCTTCCCAAAGACTCAAAGTTGAGACTGATTTCACTTTTTTTTTGTTTTGTTTCTTTTCCATTCCGGGCAGCTTGGGGGACGACTTCAGCTTCCCCTCCTCTGATATTCTTGGTGACATTTACTGATGTGAGACATTGAAAGGATTCTTGTTCCAGCAGGTCAGGAATTCAAAGCTCATCGCAGTTTTAGGACTTTGAGGAAGATTAATCTGGAAGTGTAAAAGACTTGTGAATTACACTTGAGTCAGCTAAGAGTCGAACCTGCAGTCACCTGATTCAATATCAAGCATGTTATTCATTGTACCAGTGGACCCATCTATGCACAATGCTTACATGTGGCAGGGTTGTGGCGTTGACAGGGACATCAGCAGCAATAGTTTGGTGGACACAAGGTGAACAACCAGCAAAGATAATCACCGTCACTGCTTCAGTTCAATGGTTCCCGCTTAGTGAAGCCGTGAATTTTACCGGCAAAGAAAACACGTTTGCTGTCAGGAGGCTGCTTCAGTGTTTCCTATTTTTCTGATCCAGAGCGAGGTCACAAAAGATAGATGATACCCTTTGGAGTTAGTAGGAACTGCCGATGCTGGAGTCTGAGATAACAAGGTGTGGGATGACAAGATGTGGAGCTGGATGAACACAGCAGGCCGGGCAGCATCAGAGGAGCAGGAAAGCTGACGTTTCGGGTCTGGACCCTTCATCAGAAATGGGGTAGGGGAAGGGGTTTCTGAAATAAATAGAGAGGGGGGAGACGGTGATAGAAGGTGGATAGTGGAGCAGATAAGTGGAGAGAAGATGGACAGGTCATGGAAAAAGGGATGGAGCCAGTAAAGGTGAGTGTAGCTAGGAAGTGGGGATGGGAGTTGGTTAGTGAGGAGGGAGGGGTGGGTAGGTGGGAGGGAAGACGGACAGGTCAAGGAGGCGGGGATGAAGCTAGTAGAGGTGGGACAGGGACAGGGACGGAGAGGGAGGGAGCGAGGGACAGTGACAGGGAGCAAGGGACAGGGACAGGGAGGGAGGGAGAGAGAGGGATCCAGGGACAGGGACAGGGAGGGTCAGGGAGGGAGCGAGGGACAGGGACAGGGATGGAGGGACAGGGAGGGAGCAAGGGACACGGACAGGGAGGGAGGGACAGGGAGCAAGGGACAGGAACAGGAGAGGGGAAGGGAGCGAGCGAGGGATGGAGAGGGAGGGAGGGAGCAAGGGATGGGGAGGGAGGGAGGAAGGAACAGGAAGGCAGGGAGCGAGGGATGGCGAGGGAGCAAGGGATGGAGATGGAGTGAGCGAGGGCAGCGAGGGATGGGTTAGGGAGGGAGAGTGAGTGAGGGAGCGAGGGTGCGACGGACGGGGAGGGAGCGAGGGATGGGGAGGGAGCAAGGAAGTTAGGGATGGCGAGGGAGCGAGGGACGGGGAGGGAGCGAGGGTGCGAGGGACGGGGAGGCAGAGCGCGAGGGACAGGGAGGGAGAATGCGAGGGACAGGGAAGGAGCGACGGACGTAAGGGAGTGAGGGACGGGGAGGGAGCGAGTGAGCGAGGGACAGGGAGGGAGGGAGAAAGGGATGGAGAAGGAGGGAGCAAGGGATGGAGAGGGTGGGAGAAAGGGACGAGGCGGGAGGGAGCGAGGGACAGAGATGGAGACAGGGAGACAGTGAGCGAGGGAGGGTGCAAGGGACGGGGAGGGAGCGAGTGAGGGAG